AGTGACTTCTGCTAGAAGTTCACCGACTCCATGGCGCTTCTGGTGTTCGTGTTCCAAAGAGTTCACGAGAGCCTTGGCTCAAAAGGCACTCTGCAAACTTGAGCACAGGACAAGTAGCCTTAAGAGATGCCTTAAGTAGACATACTTGAGTTACTTGAGATGATTCTTGATATTCTTGAACAGTAAACGACAATGAAAACATATGAAAACAGTCCTATATTGTTATGTAGCAGAAGCCGATTGCATCTGAGACCTTCCGGGATATGGGAGACTGTGTCCAACTGGTAAGTCGTAAAACTGGAAAGCTGTGACTTGGCAGCATGGGACACCCTCTGCTGACAACTTCTCTGACTGAGTCTCAGGCCAACAACCCCAAGCAGCACAAAGCTCGGGTAGACATTTGGATATCATGGCGACATCTTTCTGACGGTCAAGTATTTTGCAATATTTTGCAGCACACGGGGTGAACTGAGCCCTTGTGGCTTCCAGCATAAACATGCGTCCTCACGAAGACCTGGGACAAATCCAAGTGTGAGCTAAACAAAATGGGTCTGAAATCGTTTCAATGAAATTAATGCAGAGTTCATCGAGAAACCCAACCACTCAACATGTCTTATGTAAATGTATATGTGTAATATAATATATATATATATATATGTCTGTGTGTGTAGTGTACATAATTCTTGGTGTATATATATATATATATTATATATCAACCTAGACGTATAATTAATATTAATTAATCAACATATCTCAACATATCCAAACAGCGTACGTTTCGCGGGCGGGTGCCCAGTGGCCCAGTCCTGGCCTGACATGGCACTGCACCTGCGAGACCTTGATGATGGCACAAATCAACAACGAACAAGAGTCTAAGAGTGACAACGTGCGACAACGACTGCATAACAAGAAACAGCTACGCCAGCTGTGCAGCTAATTATGCTCGAACACAAACACAAAGACATGCAAGACGCAATGGTCAATGAGTGATATAGTATGATATAATGCAATACAATGGATGAGAATATGGTAAGATTTGAAAAGATCTGAGAGTTGCGCAAGTTCACAGGGCAAGGAGCCTGGATCATCACAATATTGTATAATGTTACTTCCGATCACATGAAGACATACAACATTATTGTAAAGTGACCAGAAATGACATGAGCGAAAAGTAGCGAAGTGTACATCAGCACCTCGTATGCTCTCAGGCTGCTCAAGAACTGTCGAGAGGCCCACTCCTGGATTTTGAATCGCTCATCACTAATAGATACATGATACAAGTTACAAAATGGTCAAACCAGGGCTCAAAAATGCTCAAAATATCTCAAAATGGGCAGGTACAGTAAGAGATCAAAAAGCGGCTGTTCATCAGCGCCTCTAGTGCTGCACCAGAGGCCGGAGGCTGATCATCAGCCTGAAATAATGTCACATGGCTCCTAAAGGCTCTTCATTCTTTCACGTTATCTGAATGATTGTGTGATATTTTGTGCTGAAAATGTTTCCTAAGTCTTTTGGTCCTACGACGTGTGGATATCCAGACCGTGCAAAGAGGCAAACTCTAGCCTAGCAACTAGCAACCCTTAAAAATTTGAAACTATGGGGAAAACTGGTGCCAGGAGACAACAAACGATTGCACGCTGCAGGGACCCTGAGGCAATGATACAAAGCATTTTAGCGTCCAAGAAAACTACATGAAATGACAGTATTGACTCAGTATTGACTAAGTTGTCTAAAGTTATGTCATGAGTTGCCACTGCCTTCGCCGTACCGCAGCTTGTGGAGTGAGCGCAGGATGCTGATGCGACGGTGGGTCGCGACCCTTGGTCCAGCCCCATTGCATTCACTGCTTCGAACTCACAAGTGAAAGCTGAGACGCAGTCGACGCACACAATGCAGCATCAGATCATCCACGTCATTCCACGTCCATGCGCATCCACCAAAGGATCCCAACATTGGAAGCAAAGATGGCAAAGTATAAGCAAATGAAGCCAAGGAGATCAAGCAATGCATAAATATAAAAACGAGACAAAACGAACGTGAAATGTATCAAACAACTACGAGCGGCTGGGCTGGGAAATGCGGGAATGGCCTCTGACATATAATATGTGCGTATGCTGCTTTGAACATCAGAAATCTTGTTTCAGAATTATGTACAAGGGTTCTCAGACGGTGCCATCAGTGGCTGTCTCTACAAACCACGGCTGCTGGTTTGCCAACACCTGCTGGATGTTCAAGGTAATATCACAGGACTTTGTGAGATGTAGTTTTCAAAATCAAGGTCTGATGATGTTCAATCCTATATTTGCATACCGAATGTTTAAAGTTGTTCAACGCATTCGAAGAGTCCGCGTGTGAAGCGTCCTAGCAATCGCCTTCACTTCATCATGTACCGCTTGAGTCCCTGGAATCCTTCAGGGAAGGAACCACTGATGAAACTATGATGAAACGGTTTATGTTTGAGAGTTGAGCTCATGATTTATCGCGCTTGAGCTCTGCGATGCGTCTTGTAATTAGAAATGCTTCATTTCTTCAATCGGAAGGTCTGTGTCATGCGTAATGAGTTCAGCTGACAAAAAAACAGATTGTCAGGAACACACATAGCCTCCTCTGCAACAACAGCTTGTTTTCTATTGTGGTGGTCCAAGGCCATCTTGAGATATCTTGAGTGTGTCTGAAAATGGCGGGCATGAGTGCATTTCACAATAACTTGCAATAACTCTGCAGAAATTGAGCATCCATTTCCAATATTTTCCAATGCCATACGACTGTGTCATACGCAGATCCAGCCTGGCTGTTACTGCTCCATTGGGGACTAGTGACCACTGCATACGTGTGTCTGTCATAGATCCCTACATAGAAGGTGGCACTTGTGGCTGTCTCACGTGCTCAGCAAAAGGGTCATGCACGGTCATGTTTTTGCATCTCAGTATCTCGATGTTTTTCAATATTTCTATCATGTTCTATCCATTGCATCTCCGCCACTTGGAAGAGTCTTTGAGCCCCAGACATGATCTAGCAGGTCTCAAAGCCGGAGTCTGCGCCTCCAACAGGTCGGACCTCAGGCTTAGCAGTTTTAGCAAAGTGTGTTGTTTTCAAATTTTGAGAGGATTTAAATGGACTTAAAATTTAAGAATATTGAAACATATTCAAACCATATTTAAGAGATTCTAGGAATATTTGTGCAGTCTCCGAGAACCTTTGTTTTAGCGCGGTTTGAAGGTCTTCTTTCGCATGTTGCTGCACCCCAAAGCTTCTTAGGAGTTTGATCCATCAAGTTGGCAGCTGGCGCTACCTTCGACGATTCGTGTTTGTGCATCCATGCGACACACACCCGGCATGTGAGATCCTTGTGAGATCCATCCACCTGAATCAGGCTACTTGCATCCAACATGCACGAAGCCCGCCGATTACATGGGCAACTTATGGGCAATCTGTTGTTCCATCAAGTTTCCCTTGACCAAATCAATGGACGACGGGGCGTGGAAAGACGCAGAAAAGGTCTTCTTTTTGTTGACTTCTCTGACTTCTCTTGCTGTGACTTTCGGCAGCGCTAATCTGAAGAGCTCAGGCTGCGGCAGCTTGACCCTCAGAGTGGGCACAGACTCGTCATCAGAGGACTTCATGGAAACCTGCGTCTCAAACACCTCAAGTTTGCCCAATAACATCAGAAACATATTTATTCATATTTATAGAAACATAATGTTGCACAAGATTGCACAAGTATCTCGAGCAATGGTTTTGTGCGATGACAGAATATCCATAGCATCACACTGAGCATGCAGCATCCAAATTCGTGACGCGACGCCTCGTGTTTTTTTTTGCATGTTCGATTGAATCATATTGAATCATATTGAATCATATTGAATCATATTGAATCATATTGAACCTTATTGAACCATATTGAATCTAGTAACCAAAAAGCAGACCCCGCCGCCATCAAGTCACCACATCTCAGCATATAGGTACATGTTCTGGAGTCTGGTACCGAGGTCGGTGCGAGCGTTTGCAGGTCGCAGCCTGAACGAAGGCCTGTAAAGGTGACGGCTGCTGATGTCGAAAGAGGTGGTGGAAAACGAGGACAAATACTAGATTTCATTGGTCACATATCACAGATATCAGATTCAGCATTCAGCTATAGTCTTGCAGGTCTCACATAATTACTCAAAGGTGTCACAATTCCCTTTCACCTTGATTGAACATCCTTCGGCTCATTGCTCGTGTGCACTGAGCACAGAAGAGGTGCATAAAGCAAATCTATGCAAATCTCAAGGTGACTAATGAAGTCTCTTTGGTGGCTGAAATCCTGCCATGTCCAGTGTATAAGTACTGGATCACCTACAGCAACCTTGTGACCATGGCAACAGCCAAGCCTCTTTGTGCAAACGGCCACCAGGGGCACGGACCTTTGAAGCAAACAAATTCGACAATGCAAAAAAGAAGAAAGCGAGCAAAGCCTAGCAAAGTATTCAAGCAATTTCAAGCATAGCATGAAACGATATGAAACGTAGTCAAACATAGTGAAACTTTGGTCGAAACTTTGGTCCATCAGCAAACCGGCAACGCTGGGTTCACTGCAGAAGCGGCGGCAACTGCTTTGGCCGTGTTCCGACCTTGCACTGGATCACTTGGGCTGGACAGGCTGGACAGGAATCTGCAGTGCTGACATGGACTATGTTTTTGTGCGTGTGCGCCGTGTGCGTGAAAAGTGTCAGCAAATAACAGCAACATAACAGCAACCCAATATCATCCAATATCCACTCAGCCAGCATTCCTCCTTTCAGAGCGGAAGGAGGATTGCAATGGATCGCAAAGGCATGCTGCCATTCAAAACAAAAAGTATTATGGCTTATAAGAACGATCTTACACCCTTTGGAACCCTTCACATCATAGCTGATTGTTTTGGCTCCTGGTCTTTGCACACTCTAAAGGTGAAGTGTGCCGGTCTAGGCGCAATCCCGCAGTGGGAGTGGCAAGTGAGACCATCCTCGACCATCCTCCCACTACGCCAGCAACAGGGTGGCATCAGGTCTGTCGGTTCCGGCCTTGGTGATCACCGACAAATACATCTGGAAAATCACAAGCTTTGCAAGGTCACAAATTGCAACATCATTACACTAGAAGAGCAACTTGGAACGGCTGTGGTTGTAGTGATTTTCATCCCTAACAATATCTATGGTGTTTGCAAGCATGTTGTGTCACTCTACAAGTTTGTAGGCTCGCGTTGTGCTAAGACTTTGGCAATACCGTTGTTGATGAGATTGCGCAGGGCTGGATTCTCTAGGGCAGCAGCAACACGCTCCTTGTCTGCAAGCCTGGATACAAACTTGAGCTCGCCAAACAAAGGCAGGAAATTTTCACAGGAAGTGATCGGAGATGCGACAGGAAGGGGAGAAACAGAGAAAGCTGTTGTTTCAACTTGTGAGTTTGAAGCACATTTGCCTCTCATTTGGATCTGATACTCAAAGGGGAAAGATATGGAAAGATGTTCTATATATTTCGATATATTCGATATTATCGAAGGAAGTTTAGAAGTGAAACTTCCGACAATATGGACAGTTGAAAAGCAGAGGTGAGACGAGTCAGAAGAGACAAGATCAGAAGAAAGAAGATGCAGATGCGCGAAAAGATAGGAAAGTCGCGATTCACTGTATTTTTCCAATGATTTGTGGCTCCGGAGGGTGGAAAAGTAGGCTCGCTAAAGCGGCGGGTGCGGAGCCAGCTGGCCAGATGAGACATGAAAAAGTGCACGCCGTTGTGGCGCGAAGCACATTTCCAAGTCAAAATGGACAAAACACTAGAGGAGCGGACCACTTTTGGAAGTTGAGATGTCGAAAAAGTGCACGCCGTTGTGGCGCGAAGCACATTTCCAAGTCAAAAGTGTTAAAAACTGACGGTCTCGGACCACTTTTGGAAGTTGAGATGTCGAAAACGTGCACGCCGTTGTGGCGCGAAGCACATTTCCAAGTCAAAAGTGTTAAAAACTGACGGTCTCGGACCACTTTTGGAGGTTCAGATGTCGAAAAAGTGTCGAAAAAGTGCACGCCGTTGTGGCGCGAAGCACATTTCGAAGTCAAAAGTGTAAAAAACTGAGGGTTTTGAGCCTTTTTTTGACGTGAAGATGTCGAAAAAGTAGACACTGATTAACTTAACTAACTTGACTAACTTAACTAACTTCACTAACTTAACTACCCTAACTTCGACGACAACAGCAACAGCAACAGCAACAGCAACAACAACAACAACAACACCAACCACAACAACTACAACTACAACTACTACAACTACAACTACAACAACTACACAACAACTACAACTAGAACTACAACTACAACAACTACAACAACAACAGCAACAACAACAACAACAGCAACAACAACAACAACAACAACTACAACTACAACTACAACAACTACTACTACAACTACAACTACACTACACAACAACTACAACCACACAACAACTACAACTACAACTACAACAACCACAACAACAACTACTACTACTACAACTACAACAACCACAACAACTACTACTACTACTACAACTACAACTACAACTACAACAACTACAACTACAAAACAACTACAGCTACAACTATATGACTGCAACTACACTACACTAATTACATTACACCGCAACTACAACTCCACTACGCTACAACTACAACTACAGTTGCATTACATCACACTACATCCAGCAGTTGTGGGTGAGGTGACCACTGCAACCATTGCAACCACTCCAGCAAACACAACTCCAACCACCTTTCGGTCAATCAGTGGCTTCGCTCTGCCATCCCTGATTCACAACAACCAACGTCTCCTATAGGTTTCCTATTTTTGAAACTTCCGCCACCGCCTGGTGCGGTACTACTGGTATAATTATATATGCATCAGACACATGATACACCTAGTTTGATGCTACGATATGCTACGCTCCCTTACCTTTGGCATCCATTCCTAAATCAGTACAGTAAGCCAGCAAGACATTTAATTTGTCGCCACCCCACCCCAAAGCATCCAAAAACTGATCGTAGCATATCCTAGCGTAGCCTTTTCTATTTTTCACCGTTGATATCATTCCTTCTTGAACCTGTTCTTGTAGTTCTTCAACTACCTGTTCAACTCAAGCCTGCCAGCTGTAACCATCAAAACCCTCCTTTTGAATCCTCTTGATATAAAAATCTCTGCGCAAATCACTACGTTATTCCTTGATTACTTGCTCACCAACTTTCATCAAGTTTCCATGTCATGCTCTCACTTTAGCTGTGCAGTTGATTGTTTCTTCATGTTCCTTCTGCTGGCCAACTCTGTGTCTCCGTCAGCACCGACCCAGCCCTAGGTCGCAGCTGGGGCACTGTTTGTTCACCTAGAGCAACGAGAAACGAAAAGTGCAAAAGGGTGCAAAAGATTCCACAAATCATAGAAGACAAGAACGGCTACGCAAATCAGCTATAGCTGCTGATTCGGCCTGATCTTCGGTATTGTGAGTTCCCGGAGTGATCTCAACATCAACTTTGTATCCTGGTCCGTGCGGTCAGGATACTCAGAACCAAACAGAAGCAAAGCAAACCCTACTGTGCTTTTTGTGGAGATCGTGAAAGATCACACAAAATAAGAACGTTCCAGGACAGTGACAATCGGCGTTTGCAACCATCCACGAATCAGTTTCGAAGGGCGAATCAGTTTTGAAGGAACAGTTGATTGTACGTGTAAAATTTTAAAACTGTATTCACACATGTTCAAACCTTGAATTTCAAATCTCACAGTGTCTCACAGTGTCTCACATGTCTCACGACAAATTGCGACAACTGAAATGTTGACTAGCGACGCTGTGGCAGTGACCGCAGCAGCTTGGCCTGGACAAAAGAGCGGCAAATGCTCGCAGTTCCAAAGACTTCCACACGTCGAACTTGCAGAAGTCCCTCTATACATTATCGGACATCGTTCAACGCAGTTCAACACGGTTCAACAGGGTTTAACACTCATGAGTGAACCGTGTCTGTATTGTCACTATGCAAATTTGTGGCATGTGTTCTGTGAAGTTCTGTGAAAGTTCTGTGAAGTTCTAAGGTCGAAGCTTTGATTGTCAGCCCAATCAGGGTGGCAACGCTGCACGTAGGAACAGTTGGTGTGAAGCGCACCTCGGGGGATGTGCAGAAAATTTGTGGCTGTAGCATGCTGTAGCAGTTGCGCTAGGGGTAGAAGGTGGAAGAGAGGAAAAGGATGGAAGAATTGGAAAAGCTGGTCAGAACAAGTCAGATCTTTTTGGGCCTGCAACGTTACACATGCACAGCATTGCACAGCCAAGTATCAAAAACTGTGTTGCTGTCCTCATTGACCCAAACGTGGCCTGCTTCCACGACCCTTGGCACAGAGGCAGCAGTTCCGAATTGAGTGTGAATACGTCTTAAGATGTCTTAAGTGCCCGGGGATCGCTTGATCAGGCCCAGACTTGAGCTGCTCCAAAGACAAATTCGGATGCTCTGGGTCTGTAAGATGGCGCAGACTTTCAAAGATCTCCTATTTCAGCTAGGCGCGGCATTTTGCGAATCATCAAGACTGTAGACTCTGAAAATCTCTGAAATATATCTAAATTGTCTAAAGATTCTAAATTTCATCAACTATGATCCCAAGTGAAAACACATAGGCCTCAATTGACTGCGTAAATTAAACAGTGGAAAGTTCTCAGCTGCGACCCAGCTGCTGTCAGTTGCTGTCCTGCGGGGATAGTTCGTCTTGCAAGTCAGTGATTTCAAGCAGCTCCTGACAAACCGAAAGATTGGTCCATTGGTACTTGAGGTACGCTACACATTATCTGTGCATGTGTGTAATCAATAATTAGTAATAGTTATATACAGTATAAAATACAAATGTAAGCAAATTTATGTGCAAATTTGCATACAATTATCTCAAACCTGTGGATGTATATCATGTCAAATGTGTATCATGTCAAAGTATCTGTATATATATATAATGAAATATAATGATATATAATGTATGTATATATATATTATATGTGTAAAGATGTATGTTGTATTATATTATACCGTTTAGAGTTTAGAGGTTTGAGATCTTTGGTGATTATTTTCTGAATTTCCGATCAGTTGTGATTGCATAATTAATGATGTATAGTGCATGGCTTTCACTCTTGAACTCTTGCACACGATCAGCTGAGCAAGGAATGAGATTGCTTGAGTCCAGGTTGAAGGTGAAGCATGCTGTCCATCAATGGTCCATTGATGTCCAACATCTCACTTGTCGATTCTATGCAAAGGTTCACACACTGTTTTGAAATGTTTTGAAATGAAGGTCCTGCAACGAGCGGAACTGAATAGTCTGGCCACCACCGTATACGACAGGATTTGGATTGTCTTCTGCGTTCCTCAGGGCGCTGGGGGATGAAATTATCTCTCTGGGGTCTCACGCGACATGACTCTGGTTGGTCCTTAGATGTGCGCAGCAAGCTGCAATCTGCAGGCTGCAGACTCTCCTGCTTCTCTAAATTGGCATTTTGCAATGGTTATCTTATCTTGAAGCAATCTTCTACATCTTAAACTTATCCAGCTCTTGGTGGGCTGGTGTGCCGGAGTTGGCAGAAAATTGGAAGATCTGAGGCTGGTGGCAAGTTGCCAACTCAGCAGAAAGTGAAGAATATCACAAACATTATTAGACTGTACATGTGTCAATTGATCTGGTCTACTCTATGTATATACACGTATGTAGCATTGTGTATAGCTATGTCTGTACTGCGCTGCATTCATATGTATCAAATCGTATCAATCCAGTCTTGAAAGACATTTGCAACCAGCGGCATTTAGACACGCAATTGCCTTCAAAATGGAGGACTTGCTTTCCATGAGATGGTTGCCACGCAGATCGAGCTCTAGAGACTCAATTGGGCTTTGATGGCTTTGAGTGCACTCTGCAAACGAGTTTAGAATCGAAGCCAACTCTTCCGCAACTGTATCTCCAATCCTGCAATGAGCCATGTCCAGACGAAGTCGACGGACTCCAAGTGAACGCAGAAGGACAACTGCACCATCTGCAATCGGATTGATATCGACATCAAGGACCACATCGGTCATACCGTGCGTACCACATCGGATCTTGAACGCATCGGCCAGATCCTGGGCACCTTTCCTTGAGATCCGATTGAAGCTGAGACGAAGCTGCAGGAATGTCAAAGAATGTAGTTGAGCTATTGTCTTGGTGAATGCTTGAATGCCTTGATCACCTAAATTGCAATGTCTGATATCCAGGGTGAGTTTGACCAGCTGCAGCCCGCAAAGGCTGCTTGCTAGGGTGCTAGAAAATGTCGAACTATGCTGGTATGCCAGGCAAACGCTCAAGTGCCTTAAGCAGGGCATTCCATGAATGGTCTGTGCTAAGGATTCAATGACATCCTCGTCAATAAAGAGCGCGCGGCTGAATTTTACCGAAAAAGATTGTAGCCATTTCAACTCCTCTCGCAACCCTCGGGATACAGAACAGAGGAAGACCACATCTGGAGCTTCTAGAGAAGGCAGAAGCCAGGGACGGAGCAAATCCGGCACCAAAATGCCGGTCATGCAAATCCCTCCCCAACAAAGTGTATCACAAAGAACATCTGCAAGATGTCATTCATCTTGCCATCCTTTCCTGCTCTACGCATTTACGTTGGCCATCGTGAGACAGCTTGAACAGTGATAAACAGCGGAATATGCATGTTGCAGAGTGGCTGCAGATGACTAACTTGTTTGGTGCAAATACCACAAAATCCCCGCTAGACCGTCTGCAGAGTCTACAAATGTCTACAATCAAGTTCAACTTCATTGCAAGAAGGCTTGGGAACTCAGGGAACTCTTGACTTCTCTGGTCACCAATCTGGTCAATCTGTTTCCGCGGTTTGCCTGGTGCTCGCCAGGACACTTCCTAGCACTTACAAAAGACAAAAGACTAGCTTGTTTCTTGCTACGGTTCATAGAGTCAGAAAAGCAAGAGTGGCCACTTTGAGAAGTTCTCCTTCTGCTCTTGACCTTGTGATACCTTGTGACTGTCGAATGATTTCAACCTCCCCAGGTGTCTTGCCAAGACACATCTTGGACGTCGGCTTGTCTAGCTGCCACAAGCGCAAAGAATCAGAACAATTGGAGTGCTACTCTTAGACACTTTTTGGTTCTCAATAAAATGTGTAGAAATATGAATGATAGTATGATATAGTATGAAGCTTTTACATGCAGCGTTTTGATGTTGGGAGTCCTGAAAAGATGCGTTGAATTTGATACATTCAAAAATATTCAAAAATGCCTGCTGTGCAGAGAATGTTGGTCTCTGGGTCTGAGCCAAGTGGAGTGGCAAGTGACTCTTCGCAGGTGCAAGATGTGCAAGTTGGATTTGGAATGTGAAATCAAAACCTGCAAAAAACATACAAGGAAAACAAAAAGAAATGACTCCAGAAGTGTGAAATGTGGTTCCTGTGCCACAGAGCATTGAACAGGACCCCCTGAACATCCCTGAACATCCCTGAACCATGTGAACCATGTGAACCATGTGAACGGTCTAAACAGTTGTTCGACCATTGACCATTCTAAACCGATGTCAACGATGGTCCGATGATTCGATGCTTTGAGCAGCAAACGCTGGGCAAAGGTCTCGGAGCACAACACTCGAAGCACCTGACGGTAAAACGAAAATGCTTCCAATGCACGGGGAAAGACATTTGGAAAGACAGTTGTAAAGAGTTGCAAAGACATTTGCTTTCTGAAAAAAAGTCTCATGATAATAATAAATATAATAATATATATAATAATATATATATATATAATAGTTTCTTGATAAATCATTGAATGAGCAGGTCACAAACCTTGGCCTGCCCAGCTCCCAAGTACCCTCGATTTTGCCAGTCAAGTCGAGCAAAAAGGTCCTTCAACGGGTAACACGCGAAGGCACTGACTGCAACAGAAAGCAAACAAAAACCGCGGTACATTTTCCTAGTAATATTGCACCAAAGAGTCCAAATCTAAAATTTTGATGGGGGCTCCCCCTGGGAAATCAGGACACTTACGGACACTTCACCCACATGCAACAGGTTCAACAGGTATCTGCCAATCATTTGGGTGTAAAAATGATATTGATGAACATCATTGAACATCAAATAAGTTGGGTGCTTTAAGACTTTAAGGTCTTTGAAATTGAAAATCCATGAAAACCAGGCCTCTGCCTGCTCCTCATCCAGGTAGTCCAGCGGCATGTTGGCAACTCGTGCCAAGTGAGCACTGGGCAATATGACGTTTGTGGAAACGTTGATTGAAGTGAACATAGTGAACAGTGTCGTATTGTATCAAAATCAATACGTTGCTAAGTATAGTTTCTCAATGAATCGACATGGCCTGATGCGATTTGAATCGAATCTGATGGATTTCATAATCACAATGTTCACCATTCTTGCATCCACATGTCTATGTGTTCGCATACTATATAATTTGCATATAAGTACATATCTCTGTGTGTAAGTATCTATGTATGTTACGTATGTCTGATGTATGTATGTGCATATGTTTGTATGAGTATATACATAAACATGATATGCATTTTTCTATGTGTTAGACATATTCATAAAACATATTATATAAACATGTATAATGTACAGTATGTATATAATTAATATAATATATATATATACATATGCATATGATATATAATATGTGTGTAATGTAATGATATGTAATTGGTGTGTACATGGGCATATGTCACATGCCGATATTTCTTGCCAGTAAAGTGAAGCAGCGGGACAATGAGCTTTGAACCACGATTTACCCAGAATGCGCAAGCGAAACAGTTTGCAAACATCAATTTCCTGAAGCCTGGTTTGAGTTCCGTGCTGCCAACCCATGGCGCAACATGGCCCAGCAAAAAAAAAACGCTCTCCCCCTCTCTCTCTCTGTGCTAGACTTTTTATCTGATTCATTCAGTGGATCAGCACTCCATCAGCACTCTGGCATGATTTAATCACTGGTGTCAAAGTGATCTCGCGAAGGCAGCAAAGGTCTGTACAAATGACGCAAATTGCAACCTGCAACCTGGATGATCTACTTCTTGTCAATCTCACTTCCAAGCATGCGTCATCTTCTTTGCGAACGCCAATCACGATCAACTGGACGGAGCGCTAAGTCTTCTGGCATTTCACCTGTGTGGGGAGAGGCTCACGACTCATGCATGAGGGAGCATTGAGAGTCCATGAATCAAGGAACAAACATACTGTAAGAGATTGTAACATACTATATAACTATTTATATATATACAGTATATCTAATGCTGCGGCCCTGAAGTACTGCAATAGGACAAGCATAGTTGCGTGACTTCCCTGATGGAGTCCAGATGTCTTACTTCCTTCTGGATGCAACATCTCGTATTTGCATGTATTTGCTACCCCCAAACAAACTGCAATGTTTGGAAGCAAAATGAAACTCCAATAGCTGTAAAGGATTGTAAAGGATTGTACAGGCCTGAGGCTCCACCATCTGTCCACCATCTCCTGGCTCTCGATTTCCGAGGCAGAGTACATAGGCATTCCTGTAGTTCTTCTTGCTATGTGTGCTGAAAGCGACAAAATTATTTGCAAGGGACGGTGTCAAAAGCGGTAGCATAATTTGACTTGAAGCTCAACTCAAATTTGGCTTTGACATGTTTTGACATAATTTCAACGCCACAATCGTCCACAACAATCCAAAATCATCCAGAATCCTGTCAAACTTAGAACTGAACAAAAAGGAAAGTCAAAGACAAACTCAAAAACACGCTCCTTGTATCCACTCGAACTCGCTTCCGACCAGCATTCCCTTTGGAGGGAGCCCCAAACTCATTGAAAGTCACATCTGATCTCAATGCATTCAGTGCCCTCGATGCTCCAAGATCCTGTTCTGATGGTTCTGCCTGTGCCTGTTCAGGTCCTTCAGCTTCAAAGCGGATGGCCCAACCAATATTTCTCTCAAAAGAGCAGCCGTGGATCTGCGCAGCGCTTCTAGAAGCAATCACAACGCCCCGTCCATTATCAGAGATCCGACATTGCAGAAGCTTGACGCTCGCTTCCCTTAATGCATGCAGTCCGATTCTCTTGCAATGTGAAATTAGGCAGTCCTTCATTGCCACTTTACACAAGGAGCCCTGGAGAATGGCTCCATTTCCGAGGTTCGTCAACGAGTCCTGTGCCAGCTCAAGTTGAAGCGGAGCCCCCGAAGCAGATGTAGCCAGTCTCAGACCAATCTCAGAATTTTGAAGAAGGTTTGACCTGACATCTGACAATACATAGCAGATCATAGCAGACATAACAACAATTAACAACAGATGCCCATCCATGAAATGCACGTGACAGGGCGTAGCTCAAAAGAAAGTACGTGAATCAGCTACACGCGGCAGGTCCGAGAAAAAATCGTTACGATGCTGTACTCGTGGCGAATCTAGCCAGTCGGTTGAAGCAACAAGTCGTCAGCATTTCTTCAACTTGTAATCCTTATACAACATGGTATAACATGGTACAACGTGCAGACCTGCCCAAAATGCTGGCCTCAGATTCAGCTTTGCACTCCCTGTTATCTTGCTTTGTCCAGATCTTGCCATCAGTGCAGAAGCACATCGATTGATCTCGTTTTCCTGCAGAAGTTGCATATAAACCTACCGTAATTGTTCTATATGCAAGTGTTGTCTTGGAAGCCCGAAGAGATTTCGTGGGCATGTAATGTAATTAATATCATATGGCATGGTCGGCAAAGTCCAGTCGGCCTCTCTCAGTAAGAAACATAAGAAACTCCCGCTGATTTGTCCTACGTAAAGCACATTGGCATACTACACCCAGAGCATAGCACATGACCAAAGAAGAGACGCAGCTGCACAAAGGCAGGAGCAAAGAGCACCCACCGCAACACCAGCCGCAGCCGCAGAAGTAAGGAATCTAGCAGCAAGGTCTGGGAGCTGTGTAGCAGCAGTCTACCAGCAGTCTAGAAGTCTGAAAACAGATTATAGCAGCAATCTGAAAAGAAAAAGAGAGAGAGAGAGAGAGACAAAGAGAATGCTGCAGTAGAAACAAGATGAAACAAGTATATGAGACATGATTTATACAACAAGAAACAGCAGAAGCACCCATAAAAAACCGCACCAAAATTGATGAATCAACGCGACCCTTCTCAAAATGCCTTCCCCATCGGTACGGAAACATTTAAGCGAAATCGACGTGACTAAATCATTTGACTATAACAAAGAACACTTCTGTGTTTCTATACACTTCAAGACGCAGAACTGCACGGCACACCTCTTTCACAACGACTTTTCCCAAATGAAAAACAATGAAAAACAGCATGGACAAGATGTACAAAGCCAAATAACATCAAATTGTTTTACAGGCTAACACGCCACAAAACGACAGCAATATGCGCTTGTTTTCTTGAGCCATTGCATCACGGTATGTAACACATTACACTATGTACAGCTAGTAATACAAACTACAAACACCCCCTTTGTGACTTGCCGCCAGTTGCAACAAGCAGTAAGCGCGGAGGACGGAAGATGTAGCCCGACGGAAGTGACCTGAGATCGGGCAGAGATAAAAGACATCACTGTACAATGAGTTACCTACGGATGCATAGTTGGTCAAAGCTCGAATGCATGAGGCAAAAAGGTATAGTCGGGTGCATTCATTTTTGGATCCAGGCATAGCACATGTCGATTGAAGCCAACGTGACATCGGCCTGGCTTCCGCCAAGGCATAGGAGCATTACCACTCCTTTAATCGCCCTGAAAACTTGGAAGCTACTGTATCAGGCCTATGTACACGGCTATATACACGAATGCTACACGGATCGGATGCTGGTGTCAATTTCTTTTGAAGCAATTGGGAAAAGTTCTCAAGTTAATCAAGTTGGAATTTCAAGTTTTGAAGATGTGTGCATTTCGATTGAACTGAATGACCATGTGTCAGCTTTCATCCAATCGGCCAAACCTTCCGGTAGGCATAAAAACATGGCACATGATGTGAAACATCTACCAAGATTCAAACTCTACCGTCCCATCATTGTAGGTGCGCTTGAAGTGCGGCTGGCCGTTGATCTCGCAGTACTCCTCAGCAATCACGAGCGGCATCCTCGGCACTTGCTGTGGAGGCTCTGCTGCGGGAGCTGATCCAGAGGCTGCTTGGGCAGGGTCGCCAGCAGCAGGAGTTGCGTCAGGCACAGGCGTCGCTGTTGAAGGTGGCCGCACTGGCTCCGGAGGAGCTGCTGAGGAGCTTGATGCTGTAGATCTTCCCCAAGGATCAGCAGTCCATCCTCTGCCAGAGTAGCCCTGATTCCAATTCCAGCTTTGCCATTGGGCCTGCCCTCCCGAGCGGCTTGAGTAAGATCCATACGAACCCCACTGTTGCCCTCGGCTCCATCCACTGCGGCACTCAAAGGATTTGTGGCCATACTGACCGCACTTCCAGCACTCAATGGCCTGCTGAAAGATTGGCCGCTGTTGTTGACCATAACCCTTGCCCTTGCCCTTGGCTGGCTTCTGAATCGGGTCAAAGTGACGCCGGTATCCTTCTCGCCCTTCGCCCGTACCCGTCTTGGAGGACCTTGCCAATGGAAAATCAGCCACATCTGATGCAGTGGCTTCATCCACGAAGGAGTGTTCTTCGCCTTTGATGTTGTTGTATTGTTCCTTCCACTGCCTCTTCGCGAAATCGACGAGGTCAAAGAAACAATCTTGGGCTGACCCTTGATCCACAGGCATCATTGAGCCAGACCAACCAAACAACATCGGCGTGGGTTCCCCCCTCGCTTTCAGCAAGTCCGCAGCAAGAACAGCAAATTGTGGGAGTGTAAAAACTCGTGCGTGATGTGCAACCATGGCTTCCTTTGTAACGTCCAACGGGAGTCGGATGTCTCTGTTGAAGTCTGGCATGAAAATCAAACGAGTGCTGACACCTGTTCCCAGCTGCTTTTCTCGCTTCTCTCGGGTACGGCCGACATCAGGGGCAATGCATTTTGCCAAGTCCTCCAAAAATTGGCAACAGTCGGGAGTGATCTGGCCGACCGCATTGTTGAACAAATAAAATGGGTCCTTCTCCATGCGGTCCTGGATCGACTTGAAGCCGAGCTTCGTGTATCTTCCCGCATGTGTCTGAGCAGCGTCCTTGAGGTTTCCGAAATTGCTTCGTCCAGCTCGACGTTGATCTGCTCGGGTGCGGTCGGAGACTCGCTGAGCTCGAGGCTGCTTCTCAAAGTCGATTTTGTCCAGAGAAAATACCTTGTTGGTTTTCTTGGCCGAGATTTCCATCCGGCATACCTCCGTCGCAATTCTTCCATCCGACCAAGCAATCAGCCATTTGAAGCACGACTGACATTTGTGGGTGCCCTCAATGTTTTGTTCGCCGCAGAAGTGGCATCGGACCTGTTGCATCTCAATCTTTGAGCTGTAGATGTAATCCTCAGCATTTGTTGAGCGCTGGGCCTGCCCTCCCGGGCGGCTTCCCTTTCCCTTGCCTTTTCCCCGGCCCTTGCCTTTGCGAATGGTTTCAGCATTGGACAAGGCACCAAAGGAGGCCATCTTCAACGTCACTCTGTCCTCAAAGGGTCCTGAAGTTCCTTCACGTCGACGAAGAAGTGGGGGAAGCTCTTCTGGAGAGTCGGTCACCTGCATCTGGCCGGGTCGAATGGACTTGCCGCTCATGAGGTAGGCCTTCAAACTGTCCCTGGCGTTGGCATACGGGCTCTTTGACAGTGCTTCTCTCTTCGGAGTGTCCTGGTCCTTGTGGGTCTTCATTTTGTTGTTGTACCCCACACGCGTGATCTCATAGGGGCGATTCACCCAGGCAAACTCCCTGTTGACAGCATCATATGTGCAAATGATGTTCTCGTTGGAGATCCAGTCAGGGCTTATGATTGCTTCGTCTGTACGAAACAATCGGCAGCCGCTTTGGACGATGAGCTCGGTGTCAAAGGCAATGTAGTATTGCTTCCCGGCTCGCGTTCCCGCGAGCTTTCTGCCACCGACTGAATCATCCCATGGATGCGACGCAATAAAGAAATTATGCGCCCTTCCTGTTCTTTGGGGCCAGCCACCTGGGATGAGACCATGTTCAACTATCTTGTCCATAGCGAGCCTGTCGCAGCTATGGTAGATAACCCTTGGAAGTGCAGCCAGCATCTCCGGCACAAGGTCTGGACGAAGGTTTGTCCTTGGCAACTTGGGCGTGTCGAGGTCGGCCTTGGTAAAGGTTGGATCCAAAGTAAACACTTCCTTCACCAGCGATGAAATTTTGGCATTTTCCACCACTGCACGGTTGTGTCCTTGGACAGCTCTGATGGCGACAACCTTCCATGGCAAACCCTTCCAGGTTGCATCAGGCAAATCGGGCTGAGCCACTTTCACCTGAAAGCGCCTGGTGTCACTGTTGCGCACGATGGACAGGACCTCACTGATCTTCGGGTAGGAGACGTAGTGGGCCATCGTCTTCATCACCGCCTCGAAATCCATCGAAAGATCCATGGGATCGATGTCTGGGCTGCGAGCACCATAGCTCAATGCGTGCCCTCGGAGAACATAAGATAACTTTGTGGAAAGAAATCTCAGTCGCCCTTGGCCGCAATACTCCTTGGGAATCCTGTTGATCATGTCATTGGGGTCCAACCATACTGATCCCTCTTGGCGTTCCGTAGCTTCTTCCAACTTGCGAAGGGCTGCATCAGCTTCGACACTGAGTCTCGGCGCTTTCTGTCTGGGCATCGCCTTTGACTCTGGTGCCTTTTGCTTTTCAGTCTTCGGCATTTTCTTTTCGGCCGGCTTTCCAACTGGCTTGTCAACCTCCACCTTCTTCTCGGTCTTGGTCAGGTCGACAATGGCAGTCTTGTCAGCGGGCTGTTCGGAAGAAGCAGAAGCCTCAGGAACTGCAGCATCAGTCGGCACACCCTCCCGGGCAGCATCAGCACCTCCCTTCTTCTCAGAGTCAACGTCCATGGCAGTGGCTTCAGATCCACCAACCTCGGTCCATGTTGAGATCCTGGAAGAAGTCATGTCGCTGGGCTTGGATTCATCACCACCAACCACACTCCAAGTTGAAACCCTCGATGAAGTCATGTCTTCTCCTCCTTGGTCAGCCTTTGCGGGTGCATCTTTTGCTGCAGCAGGGTCATCGGCCGACGTTCCCGAAGGCTTTGCCTCAGTAGATGTGATCTCGATGATCTTGTTGAGATCTTCAACCTCCTTGGCTCTTTCCTCCGAGATTTCATCTTCTTTGACCTTCTCGTCATGGGGATTGACAATGATCTTCTCATCAAGGATCACGTCCCACTCATCAAACTCGGGAACAACTTCAACATTGTCATCGACATCAGTGTTCTCCGGGTTGATCTCGATCGACTCGATGGTTGTAGTTGAGAAACCATCAGCCACGGCCTGATTCAAATCTTCCTGAAGGTATTGTCGGGCCCTGACTTCTTCGGTTTCGTAGTCCTCGATCGAAGGGTCAATTGGGACGATGGAGCTGATCTCTTCATCAGTGAAAGCAGTGGGCATCGGCCTTCCCTCCCGGGTGGCTTCCTCGTTGGCCTCAAGAATTCCTGCATGGACCCACATGAGAATCTCCTCATCTGCCTCGTCGAAGACCTGGGCAGGGGTTGCC